GAACCAATTGCCTTCAGAAGTCATCTAATTGTAAATAGAGTCCACCTGTGTAATTTAATCTCAGTATAAATACAGCTGCTCTGTGAAGCCCGCAGAGGTTTGTTAGAGGACATTAGTGAACAAGCAGCATCATGAAGGCTAAGGAACACACCAGACAGGTCAGGGATAAAGTTGTGGAAAAGTTTAAAGCAGGGTTAGGTTATTAAAAAATATCCCACACTTTTAACATCTCACGGAGCACTGTTCAATCCATCATCCGAAAACAGAAAGAGTATGGCACAACTGCATACCTACCAAGACATGGTCGTCCACCTAAACTGACAGGCCAGGCAAGGAGAGCATTATTCAGAGAAGCAGCCAAGAGGTCCATGGTAACATGGAGGAGCTGCAGAGATCCATAGCTCAGGTGGGAGAATCTGCCCACAGGACAACTATTAGTCGTGCACTCCACAAATCTGGCCTATATGGAAGAGTGGCAAGAAGAAAGCCATTGTTGAAAGAAAGTCCCGTTTGCAGTTTGTGAGAAGCCATGTGGGGGACACAGCAAACATATAGAAGAAGGTGCTCTGGTCAGATGAGACCAAAATTGAACTTTTTGGCCTAAAAGCAAAACGCTATGTGTGACAGAAAACTAACACTGAACATCATGTAGTGGGGATGCTTTTCTTCAGCAGGGACAGGGAAGCTGGTCAGAGTTGATGGGAAGTTGGATGAAGCCAAATACAGGGCGATCTTAAAAGAAAGCCTGTTAGAGTCTGCAAAAGACTTGAGACTGGGGTGGGGCTCACCTTCCAGCAGGACAATGACTCTAAACATACAGCCAGAGCTACAATGGAATGATTTAGATCAAAGAATATTCTTGTGTTAGAATGGCCCAGTCAAAGTCCAGACCTAAATCCATTGAGAATCTGTAGCAAGACTTGAAAATTGCTGTTCGCAGATGCTCTCCATCCAATCTGATTGAGCTTGAGCTATTTTGCGCGCCTACCCAGAACTGCAGCATTATGTATATTTTGCGATGTTTTTGCGCAGAGCAGCTGCTTTGTAGCAGTATATCTGCTATAGGGTGATAGGTAAGTGGTTAATTGGAAAACAAAAAAACAACACAACTGTTTGTCCTTTAATTAAAATTACACAAAAATGTTGTTTAAAAAGAAAATTCTATTCAAGTATGTATTATTAACTCAAATTAACTATCAACTTAAAAATATATCTTCTATTGCTCTCTGCCTCCTCCAAATTCCTTTCTGCTGTGATCCAATTCCCTCTAAAGCTACGTTCACACTAGCCTTATTTGCAAGCAGCAGACAGACGCTTCCCAAACGCCTGTGAAAATTCTGCACATTGCAGCACATGGTGCTGTTCACATGGGAGCGTTAGCGTCGCGTTACAGCAAAATGGACGCCTCTGGTCGAGTCAGGAGGAGTTGAAGCCTCCTATTCAAGTCTATGGTGCCGCTCTGCAAATGCCTGGCCAGCGTTTGCTGTGCAGTTGCGACGCGGTTGCGGGGTGTTTGCGGAGCGTTAACACCATTCAAACTTCATTATAGGCATTTGTGGGGCATTTTTAACGCTTTGCAAATGCCTAGCAACCGCCGCTAAACTGCGCATGTGGCGTTAAAAAACGCTCTGCAAACGCCGGACCAACGCTTGTCAAACGCTATAGGGGCGTTTGACAAGAGTTGGAAAAACAGTCAAATGCTTAGCTTGTTCTCCCTGTCCCCACTGTCTGCATGAATGTAAGCATCCTCTCTTGCTTATTTCCGAGATGGACTATTGACTATGAGTTTTGTAGTGTGCATAGAACAGTACACATGACTAAATAATGGGGTTGATTTACTAAAGGCAAGTATACTGTGCACTGCAAGTTGCAGTTGCTCTCAGAGCTTAGTAAATGAGGTAAAACATCACTTCGCAAAAAATACTCGCTCACATGCAAGGAAAATAAAAACAGCATTTTTTTTTTGCAAATGATTTAAAGATTGAAATCAGCAGAGCTCCCCATCATTTCAGATCTTCCCCTCAGATGTAGGGCAAATGCAGTTGCAGTGCACTTCCAAGTGCACTTGTAGTGCACAGTATATTTGCCTCTAGTAAATGAACCTCAATGTGCGCTGATCGTTCCAAACAAGCAGAAGTGATGGAAACAGAAACAGACGGAAGTGATGAGGGAAAGGAGAGGTTCAAGAGCTTATGAGGGACGTTACAAGGAGGCAGAAAAACACCAGTATGAAAGGATTTAATAAAAAAAAAAGATAGCCGGGGGGGGGGGGGGGGGGGGTGGTTTCATCTGTGCGATGTATACAATCTATTAAAGCAACACTGACATTTACAAAGAAAAACTGGTTAACCGCTTTCCCCGTATCACTGTATTGGTGTCACTGGGGATGTCAGTGACACCAAGTGGGTTCCCCCAGTGTCAGAATGTCAGTCCCGCTATAAGTCGCTGATCGCCGCCATTACTAGAAAAAAAAAACAATTAATTTACACGTATTGGGATTTTTTTTTAGCAAAGACATGTAGCAGAAAACATTTTGGCCTGACGAAATTTGATTTGTTCAATTTTTTTCCTGAACATGTTTATTAGCAAAAAGTCAAAAATATTGTTTGTTTCTCAAAATTGTCTTTCTTAGCGCAAAAAATAAAAAAAACACATAGGCGATCAAATACCACTGAAAGAAAGCTCAATTTGTGGGAAAAAATATGACGTAAATTTTATTTGGGTACAGCGTTGCGTGACCGCGCCATCGTCAGTTAAAGTAACGCAGCGCCGTAATGCAAAAAAAATGGCCTGGTCAGGAAGGGGGTAAATCCTCAGAAGGACAAGTGGCTAAAGAGGAACTCAATTCTCTAAAGGGAGCCAATGCATAACCACTGAATGCCATAAATGTAGCAACACTGATGGAGAATACTAGCATCTAGATCAGGGTTTCTCAGCTAGGGTTCCTCCAGAGATTGTTAGGGGTTTCTTGAGCAGAGCAATTTCTGCCTCTCAGATATGTTCCCACTAATATCATCGATCTTTTTAGCTATCTGTAAGGGGGTAATTCTTTCTCAATGACCACAAGTGCAAAGAGTATTCTTCCCACTGACCATTACACTAATGTATCATGAGTTGTAAATACAGACATTTTGAGAGAAAGGTCGAGAAAGGCTGATCTAGATTCTTTGAATGCCACATGCACCTCTCACTGCAAACTTACTAAATGAAAGAAATACAAGCAGCCAAAATATACAGGTGAAACTCCAAAAATTAGAATATCGTGCAAAAGTTCATTTATTTCAGTAATGCAACTTAAAAGGTGAAACTAATATATGAAGTAGACTCATTACATGCAAAGCAAGATAGTTCAAGCCGTGATTTGTCATAATTGTGATGATTATGGCTTACAGCTCATGAAAACCTCAAATCCACAATCTCAGAAAATTAGAATATTGTGAAAAGGTGCAATATTCTAGGCTCAAAGTGTCCCACTCTAATCAGCTAATTAAGCCATAACACCTGCAAAGGGTTCCTGAGCCTTTAAATGGTCTCTCAGTCTAGTTCAGTAGGAATCACAATCAAAGGAGGAAAGACTGCTCACCTGACAGTTGTGCAGAAAACCATCACTGACACCCTCCATAAGGAGGGAAAGCCTCAAAAGGTAATTGCAAAAGAAGTTGGATGTTCCCAAAGTGCTGTATCAAAGCACATTAATAGAAAGTTATGTGGAAGGGAAAAGTGTGGAAGAAAAAGGTGCACAAGCAGCAGGGATGACCGCAGCCTGGAGAGGATTGTCAGGAAAAGGCCATTCAAAAGTGTTGGGGACTTTCACAAGGAGTGGACTGAGGCTGGAGTCTGAACCACGCATGCGGCGTTTGCGGAGCGTTAAAAAACGCTTCGCAAACGCCAGACCAACGCTTGCCAAACGCTATAGGGGTGTTTGGCAAGCGTTAGAAATTAGTCAAGTGTGAACGAACCCTAAACGTTGAGTAGCATGCGCCCAATTCAAGTACAAGTTCTAGACAAGTACATGAATGTGGCGCCTTCTGCAACACTTTTAGAACACATGAGAAACGCTTTCACAAAATCTATCTGTGCCAGTCTTTATGAACTCCAGGGATTGTTCTCTATGTGCCTTTTCAGTGACTTGCATTGATCCGATGTTGAAAAACGCAGGACACTGAACATGGTGTGAACGAGCCCTAAAAGTTTATGTTTATGCATTAATTAACCAAATCTAATTTAATTTGCTCCAGCTGGACACCACCTGCAGAAGTCTTTCAGCTCCCTCTGAACACTGCACTCATATCCTTAAAATATTGATAACACCATTTTTCACTTTCATGACATGAAACCCCACAGGGAATAATTATGCTAATAAACCTTAATGATTCTTGCAAATAAATGATCGAACCAAATTGCTACTGTTGATTTATATTAATGGATGCCTTTAGGAGAAGATCTGTCTGGATGTAAGGCTTCCTGAATCCTGATTCTTCTGCATTAACAGCAGAGAAGTCTTTGGAGTTAAATGCATTAGCACTCTAATGGAATGCACATGTGGGGCTTCTGCATTTCCTAATATTCCACTATTCTTCCTCATGGCAAGCCCGGTTCAGTTCTATTATTGCAGATAACTTTCTTTTAGATACTTTTACTCGTATTTGATTTTTTTCTGCACCCATCTGTGAGTTTGTGTTTCAGTCATTGCTTCAGCTTATATATTGTGGTAAATTTATGTTTGTTTTTTGCAAAAAAAAATATTGATTTAATCATGTTAAAATAAAAAATTTTGTTTTCTTCTGAGCGTATTCTTAAAGTGGGACAACACTGTATCTGGGCACCACAAACTAAAAGCACTATTTAATTGTTGTTTAATAGTCAAAACACCCCTTCCCCATCCATCCATGCCCACATTCTTTATTTTGCTGAGAAATCAGAAAAAACACCCTTTAGAACAGGGGTATTGAATTCAAATTCAAGGAGGTCCGGTCACTAACATTTTCTTTTGGCCGAGGTTCAAATAGGGTGTGCCCATCAGTGTGCCCCTTACATTATGTGTTGCCATCAGAGTGCAACTTTACATCATGTATTCCCATCACATCAGGTGTGCGCATCAGAGTTCTCCTTTACATCAGTTGTCCCCATCACAATGCCCCTTTACATTAAGTATCCCCATCACATTGCCACCTTACATCAGGTATTCCCGTCAGAGTGCCCCCTTACACTCAAAGTACCCCTTTCTATCATATTTCCCCATCAGAGTGCCCCTTTCCATCATATTCCTCATCAGAGTGCCCCTTTCTATGATATTCCTCATCAGAGTGCCCCTTTCTATGATATTCCTCATCAGAGTGCCCCTTTCTATCACATGTGCCCATCAGAGTGCCCCTTTCCACAGTATGTGCCCATTTGTGTCCCCTTAACATAAAATGGGCCCGTCAGAATGCCCCTTAACATAAAATAAGGAGCATGCTGATGGGCACATTTTATGTTAAGGAGCACTCTGATGGGCACATTTATATTGAATGGCACTCTGATTGGCATATGTTATGTTAAGGGGAACTGTGATGGGCACATTCTATGTTGTGCCCATCAGAGTCCCCCCTTAACATTCAATGTGCCCATCAGAGTGCCCCTGTAAGACTACACCCTACCTTGAAGGCAGACAGGAGCTCTGCCGGGATCCTTGCTGGACGCTTGTGTACAGGCAGGGAGCAGGAACCGGAGAGACAGTGAGCTGAAAGGTGCAGGGCGCACGCGTGATGTCATATTGCCGTGACATCGCAGGCTGGCGGCCCAAGCGGCAGTGCTGCTGGGGCCATTTGCGGACTGCAGTCTGCCATTTAGTGACTGCTACTCTATAATATGGAAGGGAGATAGTTGACCCTCAACACTGCAGGGAGGTATCAAAATCTGAATAGAGCACTCCAAGAACAGAGAATCCCGAAACACATGAGAAGACAATCTAAATGCGCACAGGCACTGGGCACTAGCATTTTACCCATGTAAATGTTTTAGAATTTTTTGGGAGGAGACAGATGTACTATTATTTTTTCAATTGCATTTGTTCGAGTTCTTCAGTCTGCTATAAAATCTGAATGGGTAATTTGTACATTTGAGTAGTCTGTGTGATGACCCCTCAGGAAGCTATCCATGGGAGCCCACTGTGACCACATGCAGGGGGTTTCTTAACCACATTCTCTTATTTTGAATAGAGACTGCATAGTGGATACATGTATAGAATCTTACATGCACTAAAGCTTCCATGAACAAAACAAGATCTATGAGTGGTGGCGGAGGACCCTTCTTTCATACTCCTGTACACTGTTCATTGTGTCCTTTGCATTCATGGAAGCTATAGTACAGATTTTATGAATAGAGGAGAGGGGCAGAAAGAGTGGGCATAGTTGTCACTTTTGATGAATGCCTACAATAGGTTCCTCAACCCTATCTTCTGATGCTGTGGGGTGTAGACTTGGGGTAGAACACAGAGAATTTTAACTATGGCAGCCAGCACTAGGGACACGTCAGAATAAATGTACTCTCTTGTGCTGATTAAAAAAAAAAACTAAACTTAGGCTTTGGATATGTATTCTGATTATTCTGATTATGTTTGGATGATTCTGATATATATTCCTATTTTAAATTTAATGTCAGAGGAGTCTTTGCAAGAAGTGGTGTTGGTGGCAAAATTGCTCTGACAGCTGTTGCTTTGCATTGACTGAGTGGCTCAACCAAACAAGCCTCATATAATGTATACAAGTTCTGCTATTGCCTGACTATACATAGACAAATAGTCTTGAATCTTAATAAGGCCTGCCCCTTCAAATGATACTTTATGCTTCCTCTACCATACTGTGGATGGTGTCAGTGCCAGGACAAGATGATCTGGTGCCTGGGGCAAAGATGCTAAAATATGCACCCCCCCCGCATATACATACAGTGGTGATCAACATGACAATTATAGAGGGCCTCATGTGCAGCCCTAGACACTTTGAAAGGGCTGCAAAATAGCAGCACGTCTTTGTGTGCTAAGGTTGAGTTATAATGTACTTTAACACTCATAAATTTCAATCTTGCTGCATTTTTTTTGCTGTGTACTGTAATGCTTACTAAAGAGAAAGTGGGAACAAAATAAGCCCCATAATTGGTATAAGTGGCAGTAATAGTGGCAGTAAAACCCTTATCATTGGTGTCATTGGATACAATAATAACCATCTGAATTGGTGTCAATGGCAGCAGTAATAAACCCAAGTATTTGTGTCAGTGGACGCAATAACTCCATGATTTAGTGTCAGCAAATAATAACCCCGAGCACTGGTGTCAGTGGGCACAATAATAACCCCCTGTATTGGTGTCAAAAGCAGCACTAATAACAACAACCAGCATTTGTGTTAGTGGCCACAATAAAACTTCCCGGCACTGGTGTCAGTGGCTGCAATCATAACCTCAGCATTGACGTCAGTGGCCACAAAAATAGTCCCAGGCATGGGTATCAGTGGCCACAATATTACTCCCAGCAGTGGTGTCAGTGAATGCAATAATAACTATTAGCAATGGGCTCATACACCACAATTATAAACTCCACGTTGATGTCAGTGTCTGCAATTATAACCCCAGCATTACTTGGGTGAGGTGAAAACATTGAGGACACTGTTGTCCTCAACATCATCAAGAATTCAGGGTCCTCTGCTGCAGGGAATTTGTGGTAAATGGGCTCATTCATGCTGAAATGTTTATGCAAGAACCATAGGATTCAGACCATGAAGGAGAGGGTCCATTACTGGCTGGCCACACTTTTGGATCCCTGATAGGAAGGGAAAATGGCAGATCTCAGGTTACCATCCTAGAGGGAGCAAAAATTGCACCACTTAGAAGAGGTGCAGTGGAAGAACCTCCTGGCCACATTTCCAGATAATGGCAGGAACCCCACCCATACTCAACAGGCCTTCAATCCTTAGTTCACTGAAATGAAAAGTGGCAGAGGTGGTGGCTGCCTCAGCGATGCTTTTAAGTAATTTTTCCAGCCGCATTGGACAGACTTGGCTGCAGGCAACAGTCATAGACAATGCCTAAATCATATGATTGCAAACTACTTTAGGCCCAGAATGATGCAGACAGGGGACCCCATGGACAATTGGGTATCCAGGCAGAACCATTTGCCAGTATGTGCCAAAGCTTCCGCTTGCCCTGCAATGTGCTGTCTGAGAGGGCCTTCAGTGCAACAGGTGGTTTTGTGACAGAAGGATAAATACGCCTGTTCCCTGACACTGTGGCCCAGCTCATTTTCGTAAAAATAAATTAGTCTGAGATCAATGATTCTGGACTACTACTATTACCAACTCCGACCACCTCTGCTGGGCTGCCACCATTACCAGCTGCTGCCTCATCTGCTGGACTGCAAACATTACTATATAGTGTACCTCTGCTGGCCTGCCACCATTACCAGCTCCTACCACTTCTGCAAGACTGTCCATTACCAATTTCTGCGATCTTTGCTGGACTGCCACCATTACAGTATAAGCTTCTGCCACTTCTGCTGGACTGCCACCATTACCAGTTTGTGCCACAACTGCTTGCCTGCCACCATTACCAGCTCCTGCCACCTTTGATAGACTGCCAATATTATCAGCTCCTACCACCTCTGTGGGACTGACACCATTACCAGTTCCTACCATCTCTGCTGGATTCCCACCATTGCCAGCTTGTGTCCCCTTTGCTAGGCTATCACCGTTACCAGCTCCTGCCTCTTTTCTGTGCTTACAGTAATGCTGAACTCTGGGGAGACTTTAGCTGGCACGTATAGCTGCCCCTGTTCCTTTAAGGCAAGCTGGTGTACCGGTATTTGATTTTTGACAGGACTTATAGTGTTTGTAAACCTCTGAAATGAAATATGAGTGAAGAATATCCTTCTATAGTGTATTTTTGCCTCTATCTATGTCTCCTCTGTCATTGCTCTGCAATCTGCACAAGCGCAGTGTGTGACATCAGATCTTCACTCACTGCCTGATGGAGCTGAGAAATACTGTCCAAATTCTGTACTTTGAACAACTGTAGAGGAGAGAGGGCTGCAGATAACCTTTAGTGTTAAGTGTGGGCCATTCATGCTTTTAAAACCAGTTAATATAAAATCTGCCTTAAAAATAATACACAATAATATAATACATGGTTTCACACTATGGATATTTTGTCTTCTTATGGTTTTATACACACAGAAACCTTGGGGCCATGTTCCTGGAATATTTGAAAAGCCTAACTGATCTGCTTAACGCTAAGGGTCTTACTGTCTGCTGAGTATTTTGGACCACTGGGTGGTGGAGCCACAGTGTTATTTGGGGGTTGCACCAACTGTACAGTGGAACAACACAGAGATCATATGGGACTGTGTACCATTGATTGCCAGAAATTGATCTACATTTTGCTTGGTGAAACACATATAGAAGTGGGGAAATCTGTGGATCGCATCTTTAGCAAGAGTGAGTACAATATATGAATAACTACTGTATATCCAAACAACAGTTGCACTTGAAAATCAATATATAAATAATGAATGTCCAATAAAAGTCCAATAAGTATTGTGTGCCATGTCTTTATATTCACCATATTCTTCTTTAAAATAAATTAATGTGTGCTCCATTCCACCGTGCCCACAACAATCACTCCGCACTCACCCGACCCCTTGTTTAAACAAGAAAGTAAAATTGCGCTTGTTGATGTAACCATCACTGCAACAAAGGATGGAAGGAAGGAAGCCAGAAACACCGTACAGCCAGAAAAGGTTGCCTGGAAATGTTGTTTCCTATACCGCTTCAACCGGTCCCACTTTGCCTCTATATGTTCCTCTCAGAGCCACTGTTCATGTTAATTTATTTTAGGAAATCCTCCAAGCTTTCCACTGCACCCCTCCAAATAATTATTCTGTCATCAATTTATCTTTCATATAGAGCCAACTCAGGTTTACCAACATCTCCTCAAACTCCCATTTACTAAAAGGCTCAGCCAGATCTGTCTGGGGTGATGCAGCAGCTGCCCTTGCAGGCCCTGTCTCAATTTACAGAGATGCTCAGATGGAAGTTGTGCTAGCAGCCACCTTCATTATCTCAGGCTCTTCATACAGGAACGGGGCACAAAAGTACAATATTTTTGGCTACTTTTTTTCATGATTAAAACTCAAAATAAAAACAAAATGAAAACAAAATGCCTCTTCTCTCCCTCTTACATTGTGTCCTACTAAAGCTGCTTACTTCTTGTGCAGCAACAATATTTCTAGCTATTACTGTAGAAATAATACACTAACATTTTAATTTTTATGATAAAACCTGCATCATCTCTCCATTTTACATTGCAGTCTAATAAAGCTATTTACACAGTATCCAGCAAATGTACAATATTTATGACTATTGTCTCTCAAATAATACAATCTAATTT